ATAATTACATTTTAAACGATAATACTAACCGTCAGGGCATTTTATCGTGATTTATCGTAAAACCGGTAATCGTTACATCCCTAGTGAGGTTAAATGCACTTGCATCTTCAAATACTTATGATACAAAATCAATGTAAATAGATAGAAATCGAATTGGATGACATTGGCTCAAAATTGGGATTCTGGTGACTGCTGGAGTTCATGTTGGTGCTTTGTGAAGCCCAGTCAAGTTTTTCCACACTTTAAACTTCTTCTAAAGCTTCATGGAGCTCATTTCACAAAAGTGCCCTCCCAAAGCTAAGTTAGACGTGCACACTTCTCTAGAAAACCAATAGCATTAAGATTAGTTTTCACTGGAACTACGAAGCCTGGATTCTGAAAATATTTTTGGCCACGTTTCACAAGATCCCCCCTGCCTCTTGACCAGAGCAAGACGTCAAGCACAGCTCCTGTTCCAGAGAAAAACAAGACAAACTTTCTGTGCATAAAAGAAAATACCATCTTTGTCTGTTTGCAGACATCTTGTTATAAGTTATTGCCAAACGTCAGAAAATAGGTATTGCCTGCATCAGTAAATAGCATGTACCGATTCCCTTTAAATGTGGTATGATGGTGTATTATTTTGAACAGCCACTGTGTTAAGTGTCTAGCCTTGGCGTAGTGTTCTCATTACAGGTCAGCTACAGTGTCAGACTGTACTCTTGGCTCTCATAAACTCTAGCTTCGTTTATCAGAGACATGACTTTAATTCTCTGAACCTTAAATGACAGCAGGTGGCCATTAATCTCTCTTGACACAGGCCCATATTCCTGCATCTTGCAGGTCAGATCCTTTATTGCATAAATCAGAGCACAATAAGTCTTCAAGAGAGACAAAAAAGCCACCCCCCCCCCTAGCCGAAAGGTGAAAATAAATGTTTTTAAATGTCTTGGATTTGCGGTATGTAAGACTACAAAAGCAGTCTACTAAACCAGCCTTTGTAAAGAGGTATTATCAGCACTTTTCAATTTGATTTGGGTTGTGCTTGATTGTTTTGTGCCGTTGGACTCCAGCGGAGTGCGAGTGTCTGCAGGGATCCTCCAGAACCGATAAACCTATAAGAACTAGGAAAGAAAAGATTCAAGTAGGAGGAACTTATCATGCCACATAGTTCTCTTGTAATTCAGTATTGAAAACCTGAACTCTTGATTAGTCATGGAACTGTACAATTGTGTCATAGTGGGATTGTATGGTATTAGGTGGAGCAGTAACATTCAGTGTTGCTGGCAGGAGTTCTTGCCTACACAGCTTATCCAAGCTGTGTTTCTGTGAGGCTTCATTAGTCGTTGATTGGCAGCTGAATGGAGATGTGCATCGTCACTGTCGCAGCCTCCTAGACTGAGGCGGTTTGTCTGTTCCTGTTTGGAAATCTGATTAGACGATTACACACAGAGTATTTTGCATAAGAACATCATCTACAAGGCTTGTTCACACCAAAGTTGATACAACTGAGAGAGACAGAAGTGTACAATATTTCGCATTATAAATACATAAGAAATATTTTGAGGGAATATTCAACATATTGCAGTAATATTTCATATTTTATACCAGTTTTCAAAATAAAGTCAGGGGTGCTTGGTGGTCTATGGAAAATTTAAGAGAAAAAAAATTAAAGATTTTAGATATAAAATAAGCCATTTGTTTTTTTTATATGCATAGAGTATAAAATTCTATATATGTAACCCTGGACCACAAAACCAGTAATAAGAGTCAATTTTTTGAAATTGAGGTTTAACATCATCTGAAAGCTGAATAAGTGAGCTTTCCATTGATATATGGTTTGTTAGGATAGGACAATATTTGGCTGAGATACAATTATTTGAAAATCTGGAATCTGAGGGTGCAAAAAATCTAAATATTGAGAAAATCACCTTTAAAGTTGTCCAAATGAAGTTCTTAGCAATGTATATTACTAATCATAAATGAAGTTTTGATATATTTATGGTAAGAAGTTTACTAAATATCTTCATGGAACATGATCTTTACTTTATATTCTAATGATTTTTGGCATTAAAAAAAATCGATAATAATGACCCATACAGTGTATTGTTGGATATTTCTACAAATATACCCGTGCTACTTATGACTGGTTTTGTGATCCAGGGTCATATATATTTTTGATGATATTATTGTTTCATTGCTTATTTTTATTTTAAAGGTGCAATCTAATATTACGCTTAATATAAAAGTAAATAGATAATATTTTAATTATTTTCTTTGGCTTTAGCATAGTGGCATTATAAAAGACAATTATTTAATGTTGTCTTTTTTTATGCATAATATTTTCTTCACACTACATTTAGTACCGCTTGACACCAAAGACGTGGTTATATGCAATAGTGAACATACCTAAAGAAGCAAATAGTATTAATGCAGCTCAGTGTAATGTTTATAAGGAAGAGAGAAATGGGTCACACTTTATTTTAAGTTCAATTCTCACTATAAACAAACCATTAACTACAGATTTTGCCTCAATAAACTACTAATTTGCTGTTATTATAGTAAGGTAATTGTTAAGTCTAGGTGTTGGGTAGGATTAGGGATGTAGAATATGGTCATGCAGAATATGTGCTTTGTAAGTACTAATAAACAGCCAATATGTTAATAATTGGCATGCTAATAAGAAACTAATTAATAATGAGAATTGATCCCTCTATTAAAGTGTGGTTGAGAAACGTATTTTCTACCATCCTTTTGCAGTTATCTGAATGACATGGAGAGGATAGGAAAAGTAGACTACATCCCAACCCAGCAGGATGTGCTAAGGACCAGAGTGAAGACCACTGGCATCGTAGAGACGCATTTCACCTTCAAAGACCTGCATTTCAAGTAAGAAACCTCTAGATGTCTTTATTTCACTCTGATTTTAACTGAGATTTTTTTATTCACACTCTCTAGTAGGCACGCTAACGTGTGTTCACACACATTCACACTTCAAACAACTCATCTGCCCAATCTAACAGCCTCCACTATTTCTGTTAGCTAGCAACACCCACTTTAACCCTCATTAGAATCAAGGAATTAATTCCGTGCCATCCATGTGGTCAGGTCTGAGGTTTTGGGAATAATTTCCCTTAAACCTGTTGAGGGTATTTGGTTTACTATGGGACTTAACAGGGCTGGAATGATTCTCTTTGAATGCGTCTGCTTTAATCTACAGAAGAAATGTCAGCCCAACCTTTAGAAAGATCAAACACAAGCTAGCTGTCCACAATGCTATTACTTTATTTAATGTTTTGTAAATCATATGTATCGAGTGTAAAAAACCAAATGCCACATAAGCGGGAAGATAATTATGAAATTTCTTAGAAATGCCAATGACGTCTTCTGCAGGTCCACACGGTTATAGAGACAAGTGTCTGACAGGCAGAAATGAAAGGACAAATTCCAAATGGCTTTCATTGCGGCCCTTGTAGGCACTTCGGGAAGGGGACGCCATTTGTAGGGACGTTCCAAACTAAAGTGAACAAATGAATCCCTTCACGAAGGGCGCTTCCAGAAGTCCGTTAGCGAAGGGAACATGCGATGGTCACTTCACGGAAGTGATTTCCGTTTGTGATCATGTGATCTTCAGTTAGGAGATCTTGAGATGCTTTTTAAAGCAAAGTTGGGGTTAATTTCGAGTTCCCATACAAACATAAATAGAATAGGCTAATCAATTTGTCTATTTTAATGTAAGACAACATTTGTCATCAGTGATAGAAATATGATTTAAGACGGTAGTGTAAGCAAGTTTAGTTTTAAAAAATTTAATAGTAAACAAGACACAATTAAACACTATTTGAATAAAATAATAATAAGAAGAAGAAAAATTTAGCACACCCTATTTGGTGTGCTGCTGTTGATTAGGACATGTTGGAAGGACCTTTTGTGTTTTTTTTTTTTTTTCATAATTTATGGATGAAATCTATATGTATTTTTATTGGCATGACAAATGAAAATAACGACAAAACTATTCCTTTGCGGCAGTATGATATATTTAACTGACTTTTTCTGCCTTTTACATCTTTATTGCATTTGCGTCAAATTATATAAGCTTGTTTGGCTGATCATATGTTCTTAGTTGTTCAGGGCATTTTTCTCCTTGATTTCTTTGGTTTGTCTGGCTTATACCATATTTTCTCTGGTTATACTGTTGACCATTTACATGGGTCTGCTCTCTCTATATAGGATGTTTGATGTTGGCGGTCAGCGTTCAGAGAGAAAGAAGTGGATCCACTGTTTCGAAGGGGTGACGGCCATTATCTTCTGTGTGGCCATGAGTGCGTATGACCTGGTGCTGGCTGAGGATGAAGAAATGGTGAGACCCATTAGATTTTACGCCATGTTAAGTCAGTAATTCACAGTACATGACACTAAAAATGAAAGAAGCTGCAGTTCTACATTTTGTTAGGTTTCTGGCAACAAAATTTAGATTTAAGTGACCATGTTCCACACTCTCTATCATTGAAATTAAACAGGCTGTTTTGCTACTGCACCTTTAAGAATAGCTCCTGAATACTGACCAGTCTCTTAATTCTACCACAGAATCGAATGCATGAGAGCATGAAGCTCTTCGACAGCATTTGCAACAACAAGTGGTTCACCGAGACCTCCATCATCCTGTTCCTCAACAAGAAGGATCTGTTTGAGCAGAAGATCACGCACAGTCCCATGACCATCTGCTTCCCTGAGTATGCAGGTACTATGAAACGGCTGGCCAACTACCCAATAAATCATCTCAATCAAATGCACAAGTGCTCCAGGAGTGCTTTTGAGTGCTCCGGTTCAATAAATCGCAAGCTTTTGCTTTACGTATGCATTAAAGACAAAAAATATGAACTAGTGCTGTCAAACAATTAACCGCGATTAATCGCATCCAAAATAAAAGTTTTTGTTTACATAATATATGTTAATCATTTAACAGCACTAATATGAACCTTTTTTAATAATTGTACATGGTGTTTTGTGCAATAAAATAAATTATGGATATTAATAATATATGAGAGAAAACTATTGTTCGACCAAGTAATATATATTCCATAAACCTTTTTAATGCTACAAGTTACTTAGCAATTTAGAAACTTACATTTATAAAGAATGTGCTTTTTTTTCTGTATATAAGTCGAAACTATGTGTTTTATAATACTGATCAGTTTGTTTTTCTGAAGACAAAAATCATAACATAGTCCATTTTTTAAAAACAACTATTGACTTAAAGGAATAGTTCACCCAAAACTGAAAATATACTCACCCTCAGGCCAAGATGTAGATGAGCTTGTTTCTTCATCTGAACAGATTTGGAGAAATGGAGCATTGCATCACTTGCTCACCGGTGGATCCTCTTTAGTGAATGGGTGCCGTCAGAATGAGAGTCCAAACAGCTGATAAAAACATCACAATCCATCAAGGCATTTTTTTAACTTAAAACCAGTGTTGGAGAGTAGCTAGCTACAAGTATCGATGCTACTAGCACAACTAAATTTTTCAGTAGTGTTACGGTAGCTCCGCTACTTTTAAAACAGTGTAACTTTTCCTGTAGCTAACTACTTTTTCCAACAAGTAGCGGTGTAGCGTGACCAAACGCTACATTCTGTTTTGCGTTCTGACGAGTCACGAGCCTATAATGCATTGAAGCAGCGCAGCGTCTTCTGACTTAGCGATTTTGCACGTTGACAGTCAGTTTGAGATCATATAACTATATTTTATTATTGTGTGTATCGGATAGTTTACAAAATCAAACGATTGGGACACTTTATGTAATTTAAATGACTTGGAAAAAGTGTCCCAATCAACCTGAATTCACCCTACTCTTTGAAATCATGATTGCATTACAATATGTTGTTTTACATACTATTTTACGTATAACTTCATTATAATTCTTCATTAACAATTATTCAGTTATTTGTAATGATAGTTGTAAAAAAAAAAATCTAAAATAACAAAATAATAATAAATTGAAAGTAGTTTCAAAGTAGCTAGCTACTTTTTCAGAAGGGCAGCTTGAATGTAGCTTAACTACTTTATTTAACGAGTAGCTTGTAGCTGGTCAAGCTACAGTTTCAGAGTAGCATCCCCAACACTGCTTAACTATTGCTTCTGGCTAAAATACGAGTCCTCTATTCATAACATTGCTTTCTCCCGTTAAAAGTCATTTTGGCTGAATCAGGAGAGAAATATACACTGATCAAGCACTGCTTACAAGCAAAAACCAAACCAAACGGTTCTAAACAAATATGTTGGTGGATTTTGATGTGAGCGGACAACAGGGGATGGACTTTTTTCATTGGAGAAAGCCTTATTATGGATTATGGACTGTTTAGGCCACAAGTCTTTTGTGAAGCTATTGACTTCAAGTGCTTATCAAGGGGTTTATTCAAATGAGGTCCACTTTGGTTGTCCATCAGTGTTGATATCCAAAACGCCAGCAATTCATAACATCCTATGAGGGGTTGTGCATTAGACATCAGTCTAACACAGGACAGGCAGCTTTACTGATATCAGTTAACTGCAAGAGGTCATGTCACTTTAATGATCATTATGAATGATTTTCTTCATGTCTGTCTAGGGCTGGACGATATGGCCAAAATTTATATCACGATATATTTCTTAATTTCGGTCGATACGATATAATTCCAATATCGATATGAGCACAATTTAAAAAAATCTTTTGTAACATTATAAATGTCTTTATCATCACTTTTGATCAATTTAAAGCATCCTTGCTAAATAAAAGTATTAATTTCTGTAATTTCTTTCCAAAAAAGAAAGAAAGAAATCATACTGACTCCAAGCTTTTTGAATGGTATAGTGTTATATAATGTTACAAAAGCTTTTTATTTCAGATAAATGCTGATCTTTGGATCTTTCTGTTCATCAAAGAATCCTGAAAAAAAAATACTCAACTGTATATTGATAATCAGCAAATCAGCATATTAGAATGATTTCTGAAGGATCATGTGACACTGAAGACTGGAGTAATGATGCTGATAATACAGCTTTGTACCACAGGAATAAATTACATTTTAAAATCTATTCAAATAGAAAATATTTCTAAATTTGACTGTTTTTGCTGTACTTTGGATCAAATAAATGCAGACTTGGTGAGCAGAAGAGACTTCTTAAAAAAAAAATAAAAAAACATTAAAAATCTTACTGTTCAAAAACCTTTGATTGGTAATGTAGAGTGGCTGATTATTGTTATAGATTGAAACAAATGTGCTTCAGCCAGGATAAAGAATGTGAAAAGTGCTCTGAGTTGCTGCAGAAAAAAAGAGCAACAACAAAAACATGTTTGCTGGAGACGGGCTTATTGAAAATTGAAAAACTGCTTGTCTGCCAGCAGGAGGCACTTTTAGAGTGATAAAACTAGCGGTTTCTCCAGTAATGGCTGTAATCAAAGCAGCTCCGCTCATGAACGCTACTTTATCAGATCAAATGAAAATGTCATCGAAACTTTTCTGAAGACAGTCGGTTCCCTTCAGAGATACATTCATATAAAACACCCGCGCCGTGCAGTGCTCATGTTTATTCAACGAAGTCAAACGACACAAATATATCAATGCATGGGAAACTGGTAATGTATATCGAAATATCGGAAATGTGTTTAAAAATCATATCACCGTTATTGAAAAGAATTCTATCACGATACATATTGATATTGAATTATTGTCCAGCCCTATGTCTGTCACTTATTTTCCGTCTTTCCGTGTTCATCCACTCCTGCTGTTTTCTCATTGTGCTTTGTCAACAAGGTGCCAACAACTACGACGAGGCCGCCGAGTACATCCGCACCAAGTTTGAGGACCTGAACAAGAAGAAAGAAACCAAGGAGATTTACCCTCACTTCACCTGTGCCACAGACACGAAGAACGTGCAGTTCGTTTTCGACGCGGTCACCGACGTCATCATCAAAAACAACCTGAAGGACTGTGGGCTCTTCTAGAGCACAAAAACTGGAAGACGAGTCGAGGTACGAGCAAACTGATTACTGAAACTAATTGGACTCCTTTGGTTTCCACACTACTTGTAACCGATTTCTCTTCCTCTTTCAGATTACTTGAACAGTTTTGATGACCAGAGGAAGTAGGGGTGGAATACGTCCTGAGCATCTGCACTGGCCAACCACGACTCCTGCTTCCACATGACGGAGTCCGACACAATTTCAACGATTGCCAACAACCTTAGCCTCTGTTCTCCCTCCTTTGACATTTAATATCTGTGTTATTAACTCCTTGTGCTATGACCACAAATCACCAATTGTTGTATTATCCTTTGTCCATTTTTGTTGTTTATTTTCTCTCCTTTTGTTAATTTTTTTTATTTTTGAGAAATAGCAGAGGCAATTTTTTTTTTATATGATGCTTTAATTTTACTCTAGGAAATCTAATGTGCAAGTTTTATTCAACTTAATTGCATAATGCTTATTTTTTAAACAACCAGCAGGCATTGGTTTTGTTGTTTATTTTCTCTCCTTTTGTTAATTTTTTTTATTTTTGAGAAATAGCAGAGGCAATTTTTTTTTTTATATGATGCTTTAATTTTACTCTAGGAAATCTGATGTGCAAGTTTTATTCAACTTAATTGCATAATGCTTATTTTTTAAACAACCAGCAGGCATTGGATATAGAGTATGATTGAAAAGGAAAGCGCTTTTTTTTTTTTTTTACGATGTTTACATGATGTCCTTGTTGATAGCAAAACGGAAAGTTGTCCTGCATGATAGAAGATAGCAAATATATCAATACAAGTAATCAGTTCACATCAGCGTAACATTCCTTTTTAAGATTACATTTTAAAAAGTACAAAAAAACAACAAAAAGCACAAAAAAAGCTTCACAAATGGCGAAAGAACTGCTAAAATGTAACTGATATTTAAAATATGTACGTAACCGTATCTAACGATCTTTCTTCTTCTCTTCTATCTTCCCGTTGCTCTTTCTAGCATTCTGTTTGTGCCTTGACTTCCGTTTACAATGGACTTTATTTTCCCCCAAGTTGTCCTACTGTACGTAAACATTTCTTCTCCAGAATTTTCACATGTAAGAATAAATAGTAATTAATAATGGAAATCTGATAAAAAGGGTAGTGTTTTTGTTCTTTTTTTTGGTAAAGATTAAACTTCTTTTGAAAGTCCTATATAATGATTTAATTTAAATAAAAGTTCATTCACTAGATAAAGCTCTGCCAGCTGTGGTTTTTATTTCAAGTGTACTTATTTTTGGAGGTTAACAAGTTCACATCAGTGGCTGAATAATTAATTTAATATCCAATCGCAGTAATTAAATACACATTTAAGGGCTTGCTGTAGGGCATCAACTGGAACATTTTCTGATTTTAGCGTATTGTACTCTGGCTGATTTCGGCTATCCATTACCTGGAGAGGTCTGTAAGAACATTAACTAACTTAATTATTTAAGAACATCAAGATTAATTTCTTTTCTGAGATCAAATCGCAGGAAGACGAGGTTCCAACCAACGGTGCTCCTCTGTTGCTGGATTAAACAAGTAACTCTGTCCTGCTGAAAGACATCAGAAAATCATCTCTGGTCAATTAATCATCACGCTCAGAACATATGCTTCTCAAAATTATAATTACATTCATTTGGACATGTCTAACGGACACTGTAATCTAACCTGGGTCTTGAGCTTTTCCATTAAACCCCTACAGTGAAAAGAAAATATTTGTATGTTCTGAAGTAAATTAGGGTTTGGAGAGTTAAAGATATATTCTTTTGTGTGCTATCTTTGGACAGACTAACACCGCCATCTAGCGACTGCTTTGTGAAATGATACATTATACTTCAATGAGCTTATAAATGTACAGTTTTACAACTAAATCTAGGCTACATAATCTTACATCTCATAAACAGACCTAGCAGTATATCGCACTTTGTCGTTCTCACCTGATGCTGATTACTCTCAGACTTTCAAAAGCCTTCATCACTTGAATTAAGATTATAATCATTTAATTTTAAAGCACAGCCACCACAAAATCAGACTGACTTTGATATCATTCTGAGGTTAAATACAGATTTAAAATCATAACAAGAAATAGTTTAATAGCTATGAAATCAAATCTTTGCATAGCTATGACAGGAAACACTGGCATCTAACAATGGCTTAGAAAAAAAACAAAACGGATAATCTTAAAAAAAAATAAAGCATTTACATAAACCTATCAAATAGGAAATAAAACAGTTATCGAAATATGTCCTAAACTCCTCAAACATTGGTGTTTCATATTTTAGAGTAGGGCTGGGCGATATGGGCAAAAAAATGATCACGATAATTTTTTTCATATCAGTCGATATCGATAATTATCACGATAAATGTCAAATCTTTATTTCGTTCCAGTTTAAAGCCAGATTTTTGCTCCAAAGTGAAAGTTGTAGAAACCAGACCATTAATTTTCCTTAACAAAATAATTATGATAGGATATAGTGATAGGAGATGCTCCACAGCACAATGGTGATGAAAGCGAGTGTCAGACTCCACAACAACACTTTTGAGAACATAGCGGTATAACAGTGGATAGTTGAAGCTCTGCTATTGGAGTCATAATAGAGATGATGATGTTTCCATTGGTGATGGTGGCAGTTTAGGTGGTCTCTATCAGGGTCTGTGCAGCTGAGGATGATCATGGGAACTCCAGCCACCAGGGTGGAGCACATAATGGATGTATATGAGAGTGGGTCACACACTGCAGCTTTATCATTCATATTCTGCAGCAAAAGAAGAAAAGAATAATGTTAACTTCAGCGTCAATCTTGAGACGTCCTGGAACGAGTGATTTAAGGCATTGACTCTCAACCGATGGGTCGTGACAAAAAGCACAAAAAAAGCTTCACAAATGGGGAAAGAACTGCTAAAATGTAACTGATATTTAAAATATGTACGTAACCGTATCTAACGATCTTTCTTCTTCTCTTCTATCTTCCCGTTGCTCTTTCTAGCATTCTGTTTGTGCCTTGACTTCCGTTTACAATGGACTTTATTTTCCCCCAAGTTGTCCTACTGTACGTAAACATTTCTTCTCCAGAATTTTCACATGTAAGAATAAATAGTAATTAATAATGGAAATCTGATAAAAAGGGTAGTGTTTTTGTTCTTTTTTTTGGTAAAGATTAAACTTCTTTTGAAAGTCCTATATAATGATTTAATTTAAATAAAAGTTCATTCACTAGATAAAGCTCTGCCAGCTGTGGTTTTTATTTCAAGTGTACTTATTTTTGGAGGTTAACAAGTTCACATCAGTGGCTGAATAATTAATTTAATATCCAATCGCAGTAATTAAATACACATTTAAGGGCTTGCTGTAGGGCATCAACTGGAACATTTTCTGATTTTAGCGTATTGTACTCTGGCTGATTTCGGCTATCCATTACCTGGAGAGGTCTGTAAGAACATTAACTAACTTAATTATTTAAGAACATCAAGATTAATTTCTTTTCTGAGATCAAATCGCAGGAAGACGAGGTTCCAACCAACGGTGCTCCTCTGTTGCTGGATTAAACAAGTAACTCTGTCCTGCTGAAAGACATCAGAAAATCATCTCTGGTCAATTAATCATCACGCTCAGAACATATGCTTCTCAAAATTATAATTACATTCATTTGGACATGTCTAACGGACACTGTAATCTAACCTGGGTCTTGAGCTTTTCCATTAAACCCCTACAGTGAAAAGAAAATATTTGTATGTTCTGAAGTAAATTAGGGTTTGGAGAGTTAAAGATATATTCTTTTGTGTGCTATCTTTGGACAGACTAACACCGCCATCTAGCGACTGCTTTGTGAAATGATACATTATACTTCAATGAGCTTATAAATGTACAGTTTTACAACTAAATCTAGGCTACATAATCTTACATCTCATAAACAGACCTAGCAGTATATCGCACTTTGTCGTTCTCACCTGATGCTGATTACTCTCAGACTTTCAAAAGCCTTCATCACTTGAATTAAGATTATAATCATTTAATTTTAAAGCACAGCCACCACAAAATCAGACTGACTTTGATATCATTCTGAGGTTAAATACAGATTTAAAATCATAACAAGAAATAGTTTAATAGCTATGAAATCAAATCTTTGCATAGCTATGACAGGAAACACTGGCATCTAACAATGGCTTAGAAAAAAAACAAAACGGATAATCTTAAAAAAAAATAAAGCATTTACATAAACCTATCAAATAGGAAATAAAACAGTTATCGAAATATGTCCTAAACTCCTCAAACATTGGTGTTTCATATTTTAGAGTAGGGCTGGGCGATATGGGCAAAAAAATGATCACGATAATTTTTTTCATATCAGTCGATATCGATAATTATCACGATAAATGTCAAATCTTTATTTCGTTCCAGTTTAAAGCCAGATTTTTGCTCCAAAGTGAAAGTTGTAGAAACCAGACCATTAATTTTCCTTAACAAAATAATTATGATAGGATATAGTGATAGGAGATGCTCCACAGCACAATGGTGATGAAAGCGAGTGTCAGACTCCACAACAACACTTTTGAGAACATAGCGGTATAACAGTGGATAGTTGAAGCTCTGCTATTGGAGTCATAATAGAGATGATGATGTTTCCATTGGTGATGGTGGCAGTTTAGGTGGTCTCTATCAGGGTCTGTGCAGCTGAGGATGATCATGGGAACTCCAGCCACCAGGGTGGAGCACATAATGGATGTATATGAGAGTGGGTCACACACTGCAGCTTTATCATTCATATTCTGCAGCAAAAGAAGAAAAGAATAATGTTAACTTCAGCGTCAATCTTGAGACGTCCTGGAACGAGTGATTTAAGGCATTGACTCTCAACCGATGGGTCGTGACAATACAAAATGCAGTGTAATATAATTATGCAGCAAAATAAATAGGCATTTTTTATTTCTTGTGTTTACCTTTTGCTGTGGTTTATGTATTTACAAAATTGTCAATGCCTATCATTTAAATGTTCATATCATTTTGCTTATGAAGTTCATAATTGTATTAAATTAAAAAGGACATTTTAAGGATATGTTTGTTTACTTGTATATAATGAAATGGTGCAATGCACAGTTTGATGCATTTCAAAAATGTTATATAGGCATTTTGTTTATTTTGTACAATGTATTTTTCTACATTCAAAAATGTTTTAATGTTTGACATTTTACTTTTATGCATTACAATTTTGTAGTAAATGCAAAAAAATATCCAAAATCTTTTAAGGACATTTTTGTTTACTTTTGTACAATACAATTTTGTAATAAATTAATACTTTTTTGTTTGTTTACTCCAGAACAATAGCTATTTGTAATACATGTTTTATGGACATTTTTATTAACTTTATATCTGGTGTAAAATCTGGGCCCCAGTTGTTAAACAGTGGCTTACACTTTAAAGCAGGGGTGGACAAACTTGGCCCTTCCAGGTCACTTTCCTGTTTTCCTGTGAGTTTAGCTCCAACTCTAATCAAACACACCTGAACCAGCTAATCATTGTCTTCAAGACTACTAGAAAGCTACATGCAGGTGAGTTTTATCAGGGTTGGATCAAATCTCTGCAGGAAAGTGGCCTGGAAGGGCCAAGTTTGCCCATCACTGCTTTAAAGCTTCAAGCATTAATAAGTTAGTTTTATCTAAATGCTTATCTTAGTTTAGTAGCATAACATGCCTGACCTGAACTTGTACAGTGAGGTCAGTCTGTTGGTTAGTTCTGTCCACATCCTGGACAAAATCCTGCTTTTCCTCCTAATCTAGTTCTGGGTTCTGAGAAAACCGGAATGATGTAACTTCAAAAGGTAATTACTGTGGTGGGCAATTGAAATAATCGTTTAAAATTATGTTTTGAGTATAATGGACCATTTATGAGCATCTAAGTTGGAATGATCCATATGATCTCACCTCTGACTGGATCAATGGTGAAACCCGAGTCTCCTCCAGAAATGCCTGAGATGAGCAGCTGGAGGGATTTAAAGGGCCAGTCTCGATCAACTGCGTTCACCACACCTACTATGTTCCACGATGGGCATCTAACCGGCCCTCCCTCCAGGACCGTGTCTGGTGACCCCTGCACTAAAGGCTCAGACCAAGTGGACAGTCTGGGTTAATGATCTCTCAGTTTCCAAATCCAGATTATATGCTGTCCTGACGACACCATCATCTAACCATTAAACCAAAAAGAATAAAAAAAGTGTGTTGTTCTTAGCAGGTCACAAGTGTCTTAAGATGTGTTTGACATTTCAGTCACAAGAGGGAGACCGATCTTCTCCTTACCTTGTCCTGTTGTGGAAGGTGGATATGATCTCACAGACATGTAGAAGACTGAGGAAGTGTTTGGATTGGCTTGAACAGATACCACGAAACCGTCAGACCCTTGGTTCTCAAAGACGGACACATTCTGGATGGAAAAATTGTCGGAAAAGTATGATACTGTTATTTAAATTGATTTGAATCAGTAGTCCAATAGAAATGTCTTCTAGATATTGCCATTAATGCGCTTTTTATGCATTGAAAGAAACTTACAGGAAGTCAAAGGAATACCCTCACGACCTCCACACCACTGCAGTTCAATCCTGCTCTGTCCTTCACTACCACAGATATGGAAAACTTGAAAAAAAAAATGTTTAGGCCTATCTTAGAAAACTCACGTGGCAGTACGTTACATTTTTTTAAAAATATTGCACTATACATCATTAAATATTAAATACAAATACTACCAAATATTATATTTAATTGATGATATACTGATAAAACCTATTGCTGGATAAAGAGAATTCAAGGATAAGAAGAAGACACAACAAACACTGGTAGCCCATATATATCTGTTTAGAAAGTGCAGGTAAAGCTGAAATGAATTTCTTTCTTGGTGAACTCGGAGATCGCAAAATATTTGTTGATTGCTCAGAAGTGTGAATCACTAGCAGTACAAATGTGTCAAATTATGAAGTAGTTTAAGAGCCAATCTGGTCAAGTCAAACTTTGAAAACTGATTGTAGACGTGTAGATTACTGTCATCATGAACACCCACAGATAAATCTAAACTGTATTTGTTGGGTTGGTTCTGTTTGGTGAAGGCAAATAAAGAATGAATCTTGAAGACATGCCCAGGTTACTGACAGAACGTGTGCTTACCACAGTAACCTCGTACATTAAAGTGTAATGCTTCAGGGAAATCTCTTGAACGGCCTGGGTGAAGTGGCCATCATTAAACACAATGGGTGGAATTGCATGTATAGTTAACAGCTCACACTTTTTCCTATATGTAAATTGGATTGCCACGTTTCAGCTTTGTATCACAAAAGGATCAGTGTTATTGTCCAGTCATGTTTTTGTGTGAGCCTTATAGTCCACACACCTCTAATCTAATCTAATGTGTCACAGATTAGGATGGGAGAAAAATAAAGCATGGAGACATGAATGGAAATGGGAAGATTTTACTCTAATTACAATAAACACCAGGACAGTGCCATCAAACCCATGTGTAGGCCTTGAGGGAATTTCAATGCACTAAGAAAATAGTCTTTCTTTAGCTCAGTTCATTTCTGAAACATTCGTGCTTTGTTTAATGGCTCTTGAATGAATAATGTTTAAGTCTGTTTATCATACAAAGAACCGATTCTCAAAATGAATCGGAAGTGGCAGCGTTTTCTCCGACCGCCAGAGGGCGCTGCTCAACGCGCCGCGAATCTCACGTGGCCACACGTTGAACTTTATCAGGTAACATTTAATATTGATAACAGGTAAATAAATGAATGCAATTCCGCATCTGGAACAGCGGTGTATCTTATTAAATCTTAAAATAAAGATGGGAGAAATAAATTCGGATTCTCACATGAGCAAATTTGGACGAAGAGGTAAATGTAGTCGTAGATTAAAGCTGTTTTCTAATGATGCAAACAATGCTGGTACACTGTATACATTCAGTTTTAAGCACACATTTTACTATTATTGACAAATGAACATCAAGGCATTGGTTTACTTGTGGCTGTTGTATTGTGCACCCTTCAACATTTGACACGTTTTACAGACACTTCGATGCTGGTTTCTCCGCCTTTATCATTAATATGCAAGAACAGCAATTAAAAGAACGTAGAACATGAAACTACATAATTATTTGATCATATAGAGTCGTAAATAATAGCTACTATTTATTTATAATACGTTATTATTTACCGTTTCTATGTACCAAATGATTTATATTTCCATTGTATTACTGTGAAGCTGCTTTAAAAATCTGCATTGTATAAAGCACTATAGAAATAATGGTGACTTGACTTTAGTGTTTAAATGATCGATAGATAGATTACAGACAGTTAAAACGTGATTATCATTTTATCATCAGGTACTTTGGTAGTTTTGAATATACTCATAATTTGAGATTGAGGAGCGCTCAGATTTCAGTCAAACTGTGATTGGCTCCTGCTAAAATGATTTGATTGGATGGCGCCGCGATGCAGCGCTGTGATTGGCTGAGACGCGCACGCTGGAATGACAGAGACGCACATATGCGCTCGTCTGCAGTGAGGGGGTTATGATCTGGAGTTTGAGTCACAAGAGCCACATCTGCACAGTCTGGATTGTACTGAAGTCTCCCCCCCTCACAACAAATGTAAGTGCAAGTCTTGATTCTACATTTGATCCCCTTCATGCATGATTTTTATCTGATAAAAGTTACTCATGTATTATTCGAATACAAAAAAGCAACTAATTTATGTTGTTTTATTTTACTTTTGCAAAACATGTTTCATAAAACATTTATTTCTATTTCAGGAGTATCTAAATTACTGGATTTGACTGTCATCATTCCAGAATCATGGTAAGCATGGCTCCAAATCATCATCTTGCCACACTCATTAGGGCTTTGTATTATTAATAACCATAGATTGTTTACTCAGTAAAACTGCACTGATTGGACATCACTTTACATTATGTGCCGAAAGGATTAGTTACTGTGAAGAAATGTCCGTTGCTGAAATTTCAGCATATGGGATGACATCTGTAGCCCATGCAAATCTGTGCATAGAAATAATGGCAGTCACTCAAGCCTGTGTGTATGCTGCTATTGCTGCAAGCATGTGATTATTATGTTTATTTAGATACAGATTTCATCAAATATGTTTAAAGAAAAACACATGCCAGTTCTTTATCTGTCAAAACGGCAGAAAAGTTTCCCAAAAGTGGAAGATTTTTGTGTTCAAACAATCATGCGTAATTAAGATATTAAGATATTTAGACAAATGAAACTGGATTAGGCTCTTTGCATTATTGTGCTGTTTTTGTTTGTGATGAAAATTAAAATATTAAAATGGTTCATTTCTCAATTGCAAACTACTAAAATATCAAGCATGGCAGTAGCATTGTTTTTGAGTTAAGAATAAGGACTAGCTTGTTGCTTATAGTGAACACAGAGACTGTTAATCTTAGACTCATGAGATCATATTTTCCTGGTTTTCTTTGATGTAACCAAGTATTTGATTGAGATTTTTCTAGATTTGAATGTCTATGAACCAGCTTCACTCTTAAATGCAATAAGTAGTTTGTATTGGAATTGCTATTTGAATTGATTTATTTCAAATGAGTAAGCTATTGCTCTTCCATTTTTTGATTATGATTTGTGTGTATTTTTGTGTACATGCATCTGACAGCATGGATAGAAGGTGTGGTAATTACTCTATTGAAAACAAGTGTTTCAGGTGTGGTTAGTAACAGGTTTATTCTAACTGATTTTGATGTGAAGGTAGTAGTCATCCATCCTTTTGATAGCAGGGCGTGAGTGTGTCCACATGATGTGCATTCATCGGTTGTTCGGTTGCCCTCTACCTAGAATAGAGTGGTTTTTCAGCTCCTCCAGACAAATAGAGCCATGCCCTCTCTAACAGAGCTCATGCAGGTCCAAGCCTGTCTAAGGAGCACGATTAGTCAATATAAGGAAAACAAAATCAAAGGGAGGGTGACCCAAATTGTATATACTGTAGATGTTTTTTTTTATATTTGGTAATTATTGCTTAATCTTAATTAATATTAATATGTATAACAAGACAAAGAGCATTTTTCAAATGTATTAAGCTTATATATATATATATATATATATATATATATATATATATATATAATAAAAATGTTCAAATGTATTGCAAATTAATTTACTTTTTATTATGAAATTTTATATAATAATTATATATAACAGTTTTGTGAGATGTTTAATGATATATTTTTAATTCTATTTAATGCTATTTTTTAATTCTATTTAGTTCTTTATTTTAATTCTATTATTTCTATCTAAATTCTATTATTTTATTATTGAAATATATGTATTACAAAGACTTTTACCATAAAATTGTTATAAAATCTGCATTTTTCAAATGTAGTACCACTGTGTGTTTTATAATCTGAGATTTTGCACCCAGTAGTCTTACCTGTCTTTCTGTCTTTTTGCAGTTGTGTCTGCAGGAATCAGGTGACTGTCTGCGGGAACAGATGCGTTATATGATGCGATCCCTGCAGGATCTGAAGCATTTGCGGCAGAGCTGCGCAGCGCCCCCTGTCGGTCCTCCAGTGAGGTTACGTGCTTGTAAGCAGTTGATAGCCCAACGGGAACGGCGAGCACGGTTGAGGATCAGCGATGCCAGTGAGGCGAGCAGTTATGACTCTGCCTGTTGTCTGTCTAGCTCTTTGGAAGAGGAGGACTCTGCGGGCAGCCCGTCGGCTGTTAGCTCACCGAGCAGCGAGCGGAGTCTGGAGTTTGATTCGGGTTACTCTGAGGCCTCCTGGCAGGATGAAGGAGTGGTGTTACGGCGCACTAAAAACATCCGAGTATCTTCTTCTGCGTGTCTTCGCACCAACCAGCCTCCCAACACCCGAGTGCGTCCTAAGTCCAGCTCTGACGCTTGCCTGGAAAGTTGGACATCGTTTGAGACCGCAAGTGATCCTAACGACTGGACTACTTCACTACTGACGCGTGGACGTAACCGGCAGCCGCTAGTGCTGGGAGACAACAGTTTTGCTGATCTCATTCAGAACTGGATGGACATACCAGAATGCCCGGAACAGACGGAACAAAAGCACAGTTCTGGACACAGTTTCGCTAAAGACTTCTTGGTAAATGTCAAGCGGAGAATAGCTGGGATTTCACGGAGCGCTGATGGGAGAAGAAAGTCGTCAGATGTTACAAAACTGAGCAAATCAATTGTGGCTCCCAAACGATTTTCTTGCCAGGTTGACGTACAGCACAAAACGCCGTTCTTCTATAAATCCCACACGGGTCTGAACGAACTGGACGCAGATTTCTACCAGTTTACGGCATTAATGAAATCTGGAAGCAGAATGCCCATTGTCTGTAATGACGTTATTGGGTACATATGATTATGTTTGTGTCATTATGAACTCTGAATGAGTGGACAATATCTCCAGGAGAGACTAATTGTTTTTTTTTTTAAGAAAAGCTTTGTCCGTAATTCTGTGTAAAATGCACAAAAAAATAAAAACATGAAAAATTCATATTGGTCATTGCATTGCTTTTAGTGGCAGCCTAACTGATTTCAGTGAATGAGTGGAAATTCATGCAACTAAAAACATTTTTTAAGAGACCATGTTCGCTCAGGCTGTCATTATCACAAAACCCAGACAGGGTGAACATGGCCCAGACATGAAGAGAAGGGGTCCTTTATCACCATGAAAGGGTTTATTTTGTGATAATGACAGGTTTAATGTACATTACCAAGCTGTTTTTATACACAAACACACTACTGGGGTCAGTAAGCTTCTTAAGGACACATTAAACTGATCAAAAGTGATAGTAAAAACATTTATCAAGTTACAAATTATTTCTATTTTTCAACATTCTTAATCAAAGAGTTTGAAAAAATGTATCACGGGTTCCACAGAAATATTAAGCAGCACAGTGTGCTTAAATTGATAATAAAATTGACAATGATAAGATTTTTTTTTTGAGCAACAAATCAGCATATTAGAATGATTTCTGAAGGATTATGTGACACTGAAGACTAGAGTAATAACTTTGTGTCATGGGAATAAATTAATCTTAAAATATATTCAAATAGAAAACAGTTGTTTTAAATTGTAATAATATTTCACAGTATTACTGTTTTTACTTTACAAATAAATGCAGCCTTGATGAGCATAAGAGATTAGTTTTCAAAAGCATAAAAAATCTTACCATCTCCAAACTTTTGAACGGCGTGTATATTATTGTAAGCATTAAAAAATTATATTCTAAGCACGTTTTTGAATGTGCTGTGTCTGTACTTGTCCAGTTACATCCTCAAACCAGTTTATGTTATTATAAACAGCTGAAATTATTTTTAGCAGCTTACAGCACTGGACAGGAACGCGGTGTTCCTTGGAATACAAGTTCTTGCTTTTTGGCGTCTCTGGAGGGGGAAATGAAGTTGAGCAGAAAGCTCTTTAGTGATGGCAGAGAGCTGAGAGCTCAACTCAGATATCTCAGGTGGCCCCGGCAGTGTGTGTTAAATGAGGTAACTCTGCTTGCGTCCCTTTACGACCGCATGGGGGAAAATTTGCAGCAGCTGGATAGAGGGTGAGGACGTTGACTTTAGCTTCATTAAGTATTAAAGTGCCTCAGTTAGCATACTAATGCATCCTGCAACTTGTGCAAGCTCATATGGCTATGTCTGCTTAAGACTTATTAATCGTTTTCGGGGTGTCTTGCAGTCACAGACTGTGACCACAGAGTCATAAAAGAAAATAAAACACTACACACGGTGAAGGCCGCTCTCACCGTGTGATGTCAGAGTTAATGAATCAAGATAATAACAGGAATTAATGACAAATGCATAACGGCCTGCTGTACTGACCTCAGACCAGCCAAGCAGACATACTGTAAGAGGAGAGAGAAATACTCAGTATGTTGTTTATCTTGGCCTTCGTGTGGAAAAAGTGAATTATAGCGCCAGTAAAATCAGGCCTTATCCCTAAACAGTCTTAAGTTACCATGCTTATAAAAAACACTTTATATTTAAGGCTTTTTCTTTTTCCATTGAAGTTACATGGAACAGATGGACCGAGTTGTTGGTGTGCAAGTGGAAACAGGGGATTGCACTTAGCGCTTAGAGAGGAATACATAACGACCAACGTGTGCCCGTCAGATGTTTTCAAAATATCCAGGAGCCTCGTGTCTCACTCCTTGGGGAGAATTTTGGCAATGTGACTTCAAAATACGTCCAAAATGATTCAAATAACTTAAGAGAAAAACAAAAGACTCATAATAGAGCCAGGACAACTTGAGTATTTCATGTTTATGCATGGAAAAAGCAGCAGTGTTTATATAATATTCATTGCCACAAGAAGCACTATAGTGGAGATTAGTATAAAAATATTCTTTTAAATCAGCTGTTGTGGTTTGCAGCAGTTTGAAGTAGTGTTGGGCGATATGCTCTACCGTCATATCGTTCTATTGTCAGTCTGTGAGATCGCCAATACACCATATCATCATGATAATTTATTTAATTATTTACTTTGTTTCATAGCCGGAGAGTGAACCAACAGGGTAAGGCTAAAAGCAGCCTATAGTGTAATCTATTAACTACATATGATATCTTTTTAGTTAAGTAGCATATGGATGTCATGTCATAAATGATTTATAATATGGCTGATTTTGTATCTAACATGATCATTATTTAATAAAAACATTGTAAGTTACTAATTATAATGCTTACATTTCCTCACAGCTACAGAAAACGAGCAAAGAGCATTTACATGATCAAAGAACATCACTGACTTCAGTCTAGCACGAGTTTATGCACTTTAAAAAACACTCCCATTATAATCAGTGCAGTTATTTCTTATACTTCATATACTTACATTGCACATACATCTGCATTTAATGATGTGTTTGTTAATGATGTGAGAATTGGCGAGAGAGCAGAATTCAGTCAGCGGTGTTTCAGCAATGACTGATCTAAACGCCTCTGACTGGCCATTGCATTCTAATCTAACAGAATCGTGTGTGATTGGTTATAATGCAACATAATGCATTTTTTTATAATGCAAAAAAAAAGAGTGAAAGGAAATGTGATGGGACAAATGTATTAATATTAATTAGATAATAATACTAGCCTAAAAATATGAATTGTCTTGCTATCGTCAAAGGCAAAAGCCACAGGTGATATCTCTGACTATCGTCGATACACGATACTCATCTATCGGCACAACCCTAGTTTGAAGTGCAAGTAAATCTTGCATAGCTGTTTAAATGATTAGCTAACTACTTGAATTATAACACATCTGGTTTAACTGACCCCTTAAGTACTAAGGTAAACTATGCGTGTCTTTTATATACAACTGTTCTGCATGCTTGCGATGTATTCGCCAGCATTTGCACACTTGTCTACTGCTTGTTTCTGACAGAGTCTTAAGTTGTCACCACATTTATTTAGTTGTAAAGACTGAAATGTGAAATGTTGGTATTGTAAGATTCCTCACATGCATGGAAGCTCCATCCGCTGGTGGTGTTTGTGTTTGAAAGCTGTAGTGCAAAAGCAAGCTTTGAATGTGTGCCAGCCTTTACAACATGTAAGTGTGTGTGGAGTGTGTTAATTAACGTAAACGTGTAAGTGTGTGAGGGGCCAGATGTCAGTGCTTTCAGACTGTGTGCTGTGGGGGCAGCCATTCAACCAGTCAACCCAGACCAGATGCACAGAGACACAATCATCACCTCTGTCTGTGTTTGCAAACACTGTTGAGAAGCTCCCAGTTCCTTCTCAAATACATCTTAAATTAACAACAGCACATGACTGCCACTGTCACTGTGGGTTAACCACAATATGATTTCATAATAAAACATTTGGGGTGCAACATCTGCTCCTTTTCCAGTTTGTAAACATGCTTTGAATTCTCAGCGCAGATTGGGAGGTGTTGTTCTAATTGGACACACTGTAAGCATCTACAATGGAAACGTAGGCTGACTCTGGTCTGGTGGTCATATACATTACAGATGTCAGCTATTATCAGTCACTTCTCTTTTTTAGGATTTGGTTTTTTAGCATTTAACCTATCTTGTTACTGTTTATTATTTCACTTATGTTTCTCTTTCACTACATCAGAATGTGAACTCTGCTATATTAACCATTGTGCAAGAGAGCAGATCTTCTGTGGAAATGTATGTGTGTGAGTAGCAGAAGCCTTCAGGCTGTTCCCCATTACAAATCCAGAATCCGTGGAGTCACGTTCACTGCTACAGAATCAGACGTGATCTGAATTTGCTGTGGTTTAAAGGACTTGTGGAAAAAGGGGGAGAAAAGAGACAACTTTGGCCTACATATGCACAGACAGACCTAATTTACAAAGAATAGAAAAACACATGTGCACCTCTGGACACAGTTCACGCTACTTCTATCACTGGGTTTCGTTGTTGTTTATAAGTTTTGTGAATGTTCTTGATGTCATTCTGGATTTTTATAAAACCATAAAACTGAACTAAATTACATTGTAAAATTGGTTCTATGTCAGATGTTAATTCTATTATTATTATTTTCTACATTAGCTACTATAAGAAGGACAAATGGGATCCCTTCAAAGTCAGAATGTAACTGAAGTAGTTCCATTTCTTTGATATCCGAGTAAAATCGACTCTCAAAAAGAGAAAAGAATGTAGCCTGGAGATTTGGTTCTAGTCATCGGTTTTTGATTTATTGGTTGGGCAGATCTGAATGTGAGCTTGATTGTAAAAATTGAGCAGGTTTTCTAAAATGATTGGGGAAGTCGATAATTTTATTGGAATATCAAGTTATATATATGTATAAAAAAAATACATGGATTAATCGTTCACAATAAGTTCATCAATAACATGCATTTAGAAAATAGATACATTTCCATTTCTTGCTGACTTTAATATTTCAATTCTCAATTCTCCCAGTTTCTCTTTCCTGAGATTCTGAGATGTTTCTCAAAATGAAAAATGATATTTAGGGCAAGATGTATTTTACCTGATTTAGGTAAACATAACAAGCGTTTAGTTTGTGACACTCAGAGCTTTTATCTGATGCAAGAAAAGCCACTCAATATCTAAATATTTCACTGTAGTGCTGTGAACGGAGCTGTGTCACATGTGCTTCAGGTCAGAGGTGAGATTGTGTTTGTTTGAAAGTTTATGCGTCTTTAAAGCCACAATAAGCAGAAGGTGCCACTGTGGACACATACAGGGAATACTCCACATTCCTCCATGTCTTTGCTATAAAGATCAGTATATGTGTGTTTGTTCTGAATAGCCAAATAAAAGCCTTTAGTTTCATGACAGATTCGTTTGCGCTTTGGCTGACCGTTGTGTTTACACCAACAACAACACGTATCACATAGACTACAGCTTTTATGTAGAGCTTTTCTGACAAAAAATTATGATTTAAAATGCACTTTAAAAAAATCCAGGTTTGCTTGTTTGCCACTATATACTGTATATTAATATGGCTAAAAATACTACTACGGGATATA